ATATATTAATGAATATATTCTGCTAATTCTATTTTTATATTCCACAATTATATATAAATACTTCTTTTCTAATTTGATTAACTTCTAAAGATTTATATAGGTAGAATATAAATTATTTTAATACTGTTTTTATTAAAATAACAATACAAATACAATAAACAAAAATAGATAAATAAAGATGTTCTTATATATAAATTAAAAATATATCATTAATAATAATAAATGACTTAGGTTTTTGCAAAGATAAGTATTTTATTAAAATTCCAGAAATTTACTTACACGCTTTTCGACTTGTATTCCCGGAGTTTGTCAAGGAAGAGCTGCTGTATAGGATCGGTAGCCTTCTGCAAAGCTGGAATATTGATACTGATATCACGTTTAATAGCTTTCTGCATATTAACGAGACGTGATCTCAGCATGATTGTCTGGAAAAATATTAATAAAAAAATATATATTGTAAATTATATCGCGTGTAATTTTAGAAGAAATTCTATGTTCATATCAACAAATTATTTTGCTTTCTTGCACAAGGATAAATTAAGTGAATAACCTCTCAATATAAATAAATATTCAATCATAAATTCATGATTTTTTGTAAGTTTATATGAGATATCATCGGAATGAAAATTAATCGCCTTTTAAATGTCTCTTACGTAATAAATGCAATAACATTTGCCAGCTTGATGTGTTAGAATAGGTTAAAACGAATTGAATACACATTCGATCATTCATAAATGAATCAATGACAATAACCTTTAAAAAAATATTACAAATTATGTATTATTATATATATTAATAAATAATTTATTTACTTTTATCTTTAGCACTTTCACCGTATACAATTCTAAAATTTCTTCACAACTATCGAAGGAACCAAAAGGAACCAAGAGAAAGAGATGACTAGTGACGTAAAGAAATTTCATACACGAACTAGATATTAACAAAGATGTGCGATTCCGAATAAAATTCGGAAAAGTAAATATGTATTATGAAAATAAATTTTTGTAAACATGTATATTATTAATAATCAAAATTATATTTATTTAGTAATTTTTCTTTTAATTACAATATCACTTTAACATGACTAGAATTATATTATTCTATTAAATCTATAAACAACAAACAAGTTTAAAATTTTTAAGTTTTGAGTAAAATTTATTATATTTTATTGTATCTTTTGCTTCTCAACATATAACATTGTTTCAACATTGAATTTTATTGTAAAAATTTGTGAAGATAAAAAAGTGATTATGTTGGGTGTTTCTTTTTCCAGCAGCCTCGGAAACAAAAAATAGGATAATGTAACAAAATTTATATTTATTTATATCTCTTGGTCGAAAACACTCAATAATTAGAATTTTGATGACTTATGTCACTAAAGGTATCTTTTCATGCATCATTCATCGCTTTTTAGCGTCAAATATATCATGTGATCAAAAGTGACCATTCAAATTTCATTGTTCTGCGTCAACTTTGATCATATGATCCAAAATGAATGATGGTGCGTGAAAAGATATTTTCAATGGAAAGCGTCCACAATCAAAAAATTTGTCATACGACAAATGAAATTACCTAAAGACAGCACTGTACTGCGACGGTCAAACAAGATGGCGCGCGCAGTATTTCCGCTAGCATCCGGCAGTGTTCGGAATCGGCGTGTCGACTGGCTTGTCATCGAGTTGAATCAGATACGTGACAAATCCGATTGAATATCGGCATGACAGAAGTAGACGTAGTGGTGCTGGACGATCCTGTCCAGAAGGAGGAGGTGGTGGCTCACTTCCACGCACCGGCGATCCAGCACAATCCGGATGGTTGGGGCCCATGTGAGTTGCCAGATCAGTTTAAGGACATTCCTTACCAGCCATTTTCAAAAGGCGACAGACTTGGCAAGGTAAGACATCGTGAGCACCATATTCTCCAGTTGTTCGTTGAGTAAAGATATTTCTGTCATTTCTCTATCCGTTTTATTGTTTTTGTAGATCTCTGACTGGACTACGCCAGCTTTCCAGGACAAAAAGTTTCCAAGTATGTATCTCGTTTTACTCACGTGCGTTTAACCTCAAAGATCAGGAAATTCAGCTAGAAGCGTTAACAGTGTTGTGTTATAAGTTGCGTATATAAGTATTTTTAGTAAATTTTTATATTAATTTTTTTTTTTAGTGTAATTTTTTGCTATTAATTTTGTTTTTTTTCCTTTCCTCTTCCTCGTATTAGAGAAAAAAAGTATAAGAAGTTTAGTTAAAAAGAACAAGTGTTATGTTGTTTCAAATCGAAAATGATTTGTCTAAATAAAGTCTAAATTTGAAGCAAAGTTTGACAGATGTGTATGTCAAATATGCAAATATCAAATTCTCAATCTGTAAAATTCTAATTATACATGTAACTATTTAATGTTTTATTTTGGTATATAAATAATTTTTTTATATGATCCACAAGATATATATGTAATTGAATACTGACATTTCTATATAATTATACTTTGTCTTTTACCTATAATATTCAAAATGCACCAATAAAATAAAATAAAAATTCGTTAGATTTTGGAATACTCAATCTTTAATATAAAACCTTATAACCATTATTGGAAGATTTTCAATACATTTCTCACATAGAAAATTGATATATTAATGCATCATGATTGTATACTTAAATAATATCTACTTTTTTACCTTTACTTTTTACCTAGACAAATATACATCACAATTTGGTTCTGGCAGTCAATATGCTTATTATCATGATGAGGACGAAACTACTTTCCATTTGGTCGATACTACTCGTGTACAAAAGCCGCCGTATCAGCGTGGCCGATTCCGACACAATCAGCGCAATCTGCGTGGACGTGGCGGTCAACGTGGTGCACTAAGTCAGATGCAGCAGCTAGGAAAGCTCAAGTTACGAGAACGAGAGCGTAAAGGACAGGCGAAGCGTTGGGGTAGACAACAGGGTCTGCGCAATCACAAGAATCAGCCACCTATTAAGATTCGAGATGCTTCCGTAACGGTGCGACCTGATTGGATAACTATCGAAGAGATGGACTTTCCTCGATTGGCCAAACTCTCGTTGCCTAATGTGAAAGATGGCGAAGATATATTGTGCTGTGGCTCGCTCGAGTATTATGACAAAACATACGATCGCGTGAATGTCAAAAGTGAGAAGCCATTGCAAAGAATTGATCGTATCTTCCACACAGTCACTACTACCGATGATCCGATTATTCGAAAATTATCCAAGACCGAGGGCAATGTGTATGCTACTGATGCAATTTTGGCCACTATCATGTGCTGTACGCGCAGCAATTATTCATGGGATATCGTTATCGAGAAGATCGGTGATAAGCTGTTCTTTGATAAACGTGACAATACTGAATTCGATTTATTGACCGTGAACGAAACTAGCGTCGAACCGCCACAGGATGATGGCAACTCATTGAATTCACCGAGAAATCTAGCCCTCGAAGCTACTTTTATCAATCATAATTTCTCGCAGCAAGTACTCAAGTCAAACGAGCCGCGATACAAATTTGAAGAAGGCAATCCTTTTATTTCGGAGGAAGAGGAGAGCGACGTGGCCAGCGTAGCTTATCGTTATCGCAAGTGGGATCTTAACAACGGCATAGTCCTCGTAGCACGATGTGAGCACGATGCTGTGATGCAGGGTCCAAATAATGAAAATCAATTCCTGACGATCAAGGCATTGAATGAATGGGACTCGAAGCTGGCTAATGGAGTCGAGTGGCGTCAGAAGCTGGACACGCAACGTGGCGCGGTTTTGGCTAACGAATTGCGCAATAACGCCTGTAAACTTGCCAAATGGACAGTTCAGGCGCTACTAGCCGGTTCGGATCAGCTGAAATTCGGATATGTATCGCGCGCCATAGTGCGAGACTCCAGCAAGCATGTGATTCTCGGTACTCAGCAGTACAAGCCCAACGAGTTTGCGACGCAAATCAATCTGAATATGGACAACGCCTGGGGTATCTTGAGATGTATTATCGACATCTGTATGAAGCAAAAGGATGGCAAGTACTTGATAATGAAGGATCCGAACAAGCCTATGATTCGATTATACGATATTCCTGATAATACCTTCGAAAGTGAAGGCGAAGAAGATGAAGACGATGATGAACCAGTTAACGACGCGTTTCAAAGTTAAAAGTTACGATACGTTTATTATTATTGATCGATAACTCCTGACACCTTTGTTCAAATTTTGTGGAGATACAAGAGTACTATAGAAAAATAAATAAGAAAATTTGACACATGATACTTGATTTTATGGAATTTTATTCAAATGCTTTTTCATGAAATTAATTATTTAATTAATACAATTTTTTTAAGGCAAACTATTTAGGTTGTTTAATATACATGAGAATTTAATCGAGAAAAATGTGTCATAATAAAGGTATGTACCGTACTATTATCAGGTGTAACAATATATAAAAATCTGAATTTTTCTGAAGATTTAAATTCCATATATCACGAAACTATACTTTATCCCCAATATTCTTTTTATTATTGAAATATATATTCAACATTTCATACATTTATTTTCATGCATTTATTTTACATAGACTACATATACATTATATGTATTTTTTAATATTATATATTTAATAATAATATCTTTATAATTAGCGCTTCCTAAAGGACTTTATGAAAAAAAAGTTTAAATTTTTATTTGGGGATCCAATTGCTTGATGACATATCTTAATTTGCGTATCGCAGCAGTCATCATCGTATCATCGATATCATAATAAAGAGCCATTCTCAATAATCTTTCTGTGAGAGCTAGACATCTAATTATGATCTTGTCGTCTTCATAAGGATCGTTCACCTGATGAAGTCTCTTCATTAAAGTCGTGGCGGAGATGCCGCTTTCAAGATTTACATCCACGAATACCATATTAGTGTGCATTAATTTCATATTTACACTGAATATCTTAGAATTCAATTGATTGATCGCTTGCGCGATCGTCAACGCTCGTCTGTGATCTTCCACCAATCGTGGCACTGTTTCTTCCAAGGCGACGAGCCCGGCCGCGGCGATCACACCGACTTGTCGCATACCTCCGCCCAGCACCTTGCGCCTTCTCCTCGCATTATCGATGAAACTCTTGCTTCCACAGAGCACAGATCCTATGGGAGCGCCCAATGATTTACTCAAGCAAAAAGTTACCGAATCAAACGGAGCAACTAGATCCTTCACTGAAATCTTTGATGCGACCGAAGCATTCCATAGTCTTGCCCCGTCCAAATGCATCTTAAGATCGTGCTTCTTCGCCTCTTTTGCCAATGTCTCAATCCATGACTGGGGTACAACCTTTCCGTTTATTGTATTCTCCACTATAACTAGCTTCGAAATCGGCTCGTGTAATCGGTCCAAGCGAATCGCGTCTACGAGACTTTTCAAATCGAACGTACCATCCTCGTTGTTGGGCAGAGTACAGAGACTCACTCCGGCTAGCTGCGCCGCGCCACCCTGTTCGTGAAGGAATACGTGCGACTCATTTCCACAGTAGATCTCGCTACCACGTACATCGCAATGATTCATAACTGAAAGACAAAAAAAAAATAGCTAATATAAAATTGTACAAAATGTATTTAAATGATTTCCAAAGACGGGATAAGATGTCATTACCAGCGATCAAGTTTCCCATCGTACCGGAAGTAACAAACAGTGCGTCTTCTTTTCCAAGTAACGCCGCGGCCTTTCTTTGCAATTCTAGAGAATAATATGAAGGAAGATATAAGGATGAATAACAGGATCGTCATTAAAATTTTAGTAAAAAGACGTAAATTTTTGTAAAAAAGGTTAATTGCACGGATCCTGAGAAAATAATTTTGAATAAATATTTATTTTATGATACGATGACACGATTTGTTAAGTATTTTATACATTTTTTTATTTAAGATCTAAAATCAAATATTTTTACTACCTTTTACCGTAGGATCTTCATCATAAACGTCATCCCCTACTTCTGCCTCAAACATAGCTTTCCTCATCGCCGCAGTTGGCTTCGTAAACGTGTCGCTTCGTAAATCGACGATAATAGCCTAGTAATCATACACTTGACTTATTTACAACGTTCTCCAAGAAACGATGGGGGATTTCAATAATTAAAGTTTTATTAAAATTCAACTCTTCAAAATTTCTCTTCATGAATGTATCTTCTTCCGAAAGAAAGTCTCTGACAATTAATTACAAACACGAGTATTATTTTCAAAATTGCCTTATATATGATATACAATGAATAATAACAAATTTGTATCATTATTCGATTTGTTACGATCAGAGAGTATCAAATAGTCCGAACAAATGAACGAGACACTTTCTTTTCTACTTACATTTTTTTTCTTCGCGTAATCATAAATATCCTGGTTTACGCCACAGTAAGTCGACATTCTGCTGGTCTCAACTGACGTATACTGAATAAGCTTTACCGATTACACTCTGTGATAACAAACGTTTATATATATATATATATATACATATGACTTCGTATCTTGCAATTAATGCGGATACCTGCTAAAGCATTATAATATATAAACAGAAACATGGACAAAAAAAAAAACGCTAAACTAATGCTTTATTAATCTTTATGATATGTTAATATAGATAAAAAGGAAATTAACTCGATAAATAATTAGATTTCATAATAAACAGATTAATGGCAAATTTGTTCAGAAACTATAAATTGGTCAGCATTGAGACCATGTTTTGTTGACATAAGTTGATAGGAGATTTAGGGTTGGTTTATGGAGGCCTGTTAACTTATGGCCTGTAACCGTAAAAAAATGACGAATCGTAGTCGATTATTCTTCTATAATTTGATTATGATTGATTAATTTTTTACGATTACGACATAAGTTAACAGATTATGGCCTCCATAAACAAACCCTCATGTTTATTTCCACTAATGTAAATTAACATTAATCCCATAATTTATTCTTTATCTTTTTCTAATTAGCATTAAAATAAGAAAAATAAATTAAACCGAGATTAAAATTAATTTACAGTGATGGAAAGAGACATAACAGGCAAAAATTAAACATATGTATATTAACTCGTATCAAACTACATAATAGTTGCTAAAAAAAAATTAAACAATATAATATTTCATAGATATGACAGGGAATTAATATTCAGAGTATAGATAAAAGTTCAAAGGGAAAAGACAGACATCGAGGATCAAAAGTTTTTATTCTAAATTTCGATGATTTAAGCTAACTATAAAAGACATGTCCTAAAATCTTAAAATCTTATTATCTTAAATATATTGTATGTTTATTATGTTTAATTAAAAATAATTGAAAATACGTAATTAATATATGTAAAATTTTGATATTTGAGGTCTATGGAATTGCGGAATAGCAGGATACATCTAGATCTACGTGTTAATAAATATGTATATACCTAAATGTTGATTAGTCAAGATAATTGCAGTAAGAATAGTCTATGATAAGTTATCTGTTTGCTATATACCATTAACCTTGACAGAAGCGTGTAAATATAAAAATACCAAATAACATGGAGTGTGAAATTGATATTAGATTGCACGATTGCATATGGTTAAATTAAACTAATTAAACCCAGCATAACTAATTAACTAATTAAAAACCCAGCAAGCACAATGTTACATGTAACATATATGTTGTAATTTCCTACTCAACAATGTAACTGTTACGTAACACATGCGTTATATATGTTACATGTAACATTGTGCTTGCTGAGAATTGTGCTTTTATAAATTAATATAATAAATTAATTTAATATTATATGATTAGTTCGCGCACGTTTTATGCCCATTTCATCGATGTCTATTAATTTTAATCTTGATCTGTTCTTGAATTCATTGTTTATTTTTTCCTGATTTGTAGAATCAAATTGAGATTAAAGTTAATTTACATTAATAGACTTGGACGTTTAATCTTCTATTTCAAATTATAATGCATAAATATTTTATTAGATATTATTATAGGCGAATTTGAGCGAGCAAGCGAAGCAATTAGCTTACTTGAATTTTACCCAATGTCTTTTATTTTTATTTAAACATTTTGAAATCGGATTTCTCTCTAAGTACTTACGTATCATTGATTGATATTTATTTTCGATAATTTGATATCTGTAAGTATTTTCATCGATAAGAATATAAAAAGAATATAAAAACATAAAGTTAAAAAATAAAAAATAATAAAAAATAATATGACACGTTTAAAATCTTAGATTAAAAGAGTGATCTTTATGATTGATATATCGAAATCGCCATTTTGTTTCTAATATATTGGGTTGGCAAGAAAGTATTTTCGGTTTTCATACATAGATAGTGTTGCGATTGTTTTGAAGGACTTCTGTCAGTATTATGATTTTTTTCTTTTAACATTTGATATCGGTCACAGTTTAGATTACTTTAGAAGCAAGTTGTGCATAATTTTGTTTATAGCTTAGTTTAGGTTCCAATTTTAATATGGAGTGCAAAAACAAACATTTTCGGTATATTTTACTTTTTATTTTCATAAAGGAAAGAAAGCTGCTGAGGCTCACAAAGAGATATATAAAGTTTGGTGTTGATTGCATAATAGAGCGCACGTATAAGAATTTGAAAAATTCCGTTCTGGAGATTTTTCACTCAAAGATGACCAACATTCTGGTCGATCTACTGAAGTTGATGATGATCAAATCAAAGCCATAATTGAAGAGGATCATCATGTAATGGTTCGAGAGATTGCAGAGAGGTTAAATGTATCGCACACAATTGAAAATCACTTAAAATGTCTTGGACTCGCTAAGAAGCTCGATATTTGGGTTCCACATAAATTGAAAGAGATTCATTTAACACAACGAATCAATATTTGCGATATGCATCTCAAGTGCAATGAACTCGACTCTTTTTTGAAACGAATTATCACTGGTGATGAAAAATGGACATCTACAGTAACATCATTCAAAAACGATTATGGTCCAAGTGTGATGAACCAACACAAACCACATCGAAAACTGAATTGCATCAAAAAAGATCATGCTGTCAGTTTGGTGGGATTACAAAGGTGTTGTGAGGTATTTTGAGTTGCTTTCAAGGAACCAGATGATCAATTCAGATGTTTACTGTCAACAAATGAAACTGGATGAAGCAATAAAAAAAAACGGCCAGAATTGGCAAATCGTAGAGGAATTGTGTTCCACCATGACAATGCAAGGCCTCATACATCTTTGGTAACTCGTGGGAAATTATTGGAGCTTGGTTGGGAAGTGATGTCGCATCCCCCATATAGCCCTGACCTGGCGCCATCTGATTATCATTTATTTAGAAGTTTGCAAAACTCTTTGAATGATAAAACTTTCACTAATGATGATGATCTGAAATCGCACTTGGTTCAGTTTTTTGCTGATAAGGACCAAAAGTTCTATGAGCGCGGAATCATGAAGTTGCCAGAAAGATGGCAAAAAGTCATCGGACAAAATGGAAAATATATAATTGATTAAAGTTTATTCTTTGTATAAAAAAAAGTTTTATTTCACACTACAAAACCAA